TGATAATGAATAATCAACTTTTCTACATTTCTTTCCTTTTTCATTTACTTTTCTTGAATTGTATTATTTGACATGACCAAAAATAAAATGTTTATTTTTAAATAATAAATATATTATTAAAATTTGCTTATTCAGAGACATGATACATTTTATACACGAACTACTCGTTTCTTTCATTAACTATTTAACGCTGAATATGAATAAGACATAAAATTCTTGTTAAGTAGCAGTGAATGGACTGTTTTAAAATGATATATACAGTCAAATCCCCAATAACGACGACCACATTTTTTCAAGGACGTTGAAAATGCATACCAAATAACCTTCCAACAACGGCCACTTTTATGTCACCGTTAGTGGCAGTTGTTTACAGGTTTGTTTGACTGCATATTTTTTTTTAAGTTTCAATGAGTCTGTATTCTTAAAATAATTAAAATTCTGTGCAAATATACAGTATGATCTAAACTGTAAATATTATTAAAAATTGGCATTGCTTTCTATTATTATATTATTTATTTACTTTGTTTTTATGTCAATAATTTAAATAAATAAATAAGGTATATTTTTAAGCTTTTTCTTTGTTTTAATGTAATTTTTTTAAATTTTAGACATTTCTCCAGCACATTTTTTTCAAAAGGTAAAATTTTACATAATTAAATCATTATTCATTGACAGAATATTAATGTTAATCAACGATTTCCTTAATGAAAACTCCTTGTAAATTGTTTTTAATTTAATAAAAGTCGATTTGTCAGATTTAATTATTTCAAAATTTCTTTTTCTCTCTCGTTTGAGTAAATATTTGTATTCATTTTTTTTAATTTACACATTTTCAAAACTAGATCGGAGGGAAGTGAAGTTTTTACTTGTACTATTGGGCACAACCTTTTAGAATTTATATAATAAATAAACAAGTATTAGTATTATTATAAAATTCGGTAAATATATATTCAGTTAAACCTCTGAACAACAGCCAGGGACGAAAAAATTAAAACATGGCCGTTGTTTGGAGGTTATTTCGCATTCATTTTTGTTATTTAAGAAAAATCCTAAAACAGGCGTTGTTGGCGGTTTGACAATTAAATTTTTATATTTATAAATGTTGTAAGTATAGACAAATAAATGTAGTTATTCTATATCCATTTATGTATTATAATCCCAGTTTGAATTAAGGATTAATAAATGGAAGTCGAGATGTGTTAGCATGGTGGATGCACTTTCTGTAATTTTGACAATGTAATGACTACTTCCACTTTCAATCGTTACCTGCACTTACTCGTTAATTGCTTAGCACAATACACACGCATTAAATCGATTTAAAATACCAATATTTAGCAATTTTACAATATTACATTAAGTAAGTATCCAGGGGTAAATTAAATTTAGTATTACTTCGGAAATCTCTCAACAGATGGCAGCAATATAAAATTCACTTCAGTTCGTTGGCTTATTTTTTTTCACTGATTTTTTTAATAATCAATTTAATTAACGTTTCGTAAAAGTAAAAAAATGCATTTAATGCATTTTTAAATTTTTATTTTTTAAAAATGTATAATATTTAAGTGTTAAATAGAATTAAGTCAGGAATTTTTTCAGGTGGGTATCTTAGGTAATTTGTGATGTGAATAGCATTTATTTGAAGGGATAATAATTTGGTTCATTTAAGATAAATCTCCATCAAATTTTTTCTTCGTGTTCTTTTCACGCATCCTTCTTACTCGCAATTATCATTCTTATCGATTTTCATTTATCATAAGAAAGAAACAGGAAGAAAGGGAAAATGTATGATAGTTCTAAAGAAAGTAATTACTTATTTTCTTCAAAAATGACTCTTACAACATCGGGTATAGACGGTTACTTAAGCTCATTTTCTTCAGAAAGTCTAACTATGCCAGGTCCAACATAAGTAAATCATTATTCATTAGCAGAATATTAATGTTAATTAATGGTTTCCTTATCGAAAACCCCTTGTAAATTATTTTTAACATAATAAAAGATCGATTTGTCAGATTTAATTATTTAAAAAGCAGTCCGCTAATACATTTTATACACCTTTTTTCTTCGTGTAAGGAGTTAAAGATTGCAGCAACGTATGGGGAGTTAGTAGTTATAAATAACACAGAGTCGTAGAAGAGTGTTAGATGTTATAAAATACGCGAAAAAAATAAACGGTAGAGGCTGGAAAAATAATTAAAACGTTATTAAATATAATATATATTAATTTTTAAAAATTCCGTTTTATAAATTAAGTTTTCTAAATCGTTTATAAGAAAAATAAATTTTCAGCCGATAATAAGTCTTATAGACTAATTAAACGTTGTAGAGACGTTAAAAAGTTCAAATTTAAAGAGGAAGATTAATTATTACCTCAATATATAAAGTAGTAAAACATTGTAACTTTGTCCATGTTGTAACTAACAAGTGAGATAAAAATTGAATAAATTCGTCGACACATTTGTGTATTCTATTATCATTTGTAAAGGAAAAAACTTTAAGTGCAAATATTTTCATCAACATTCACAACTATTCAAAGGGGGGGCTTCGGCATGTTTCTTTGCTCAACGTTGAATGCAATTGTTAAATCAGCACGACGTTCACGATACTTGTTATCCTCATCGACAAAACGCTCTAATATGCTGATTTTTTCCATTTCTTACAAAAGTCATTAATTCCGCCAAAGAAACAAAAGATTTAATTATAATGTAGTAACACTTTTAGAATTTCAATTTCTACTTCAGCCAACAGTTCTATAATTATTAAAAAAAAATCAAATAAATCGGAAAAAATTCAAATTTTCACACATTTTTCATATATTAAGGATAAAGAAAATAATTAATTTTTTATTAAAAATAAGGATTTAAAAATCGCTGAGAAGTAATTAATCAGTCGAAGAAAGAAATGCTATTAATTAATTTAAATAACCATTTTCTACTTTAACATAGGATTTTGAAGTATTTTCAAACATTTTCGAGAGGTTATTAGGGGGAAGAGATTTAAAAACGACGCTGAGGCTCTCAAATCTGTATAAATTATAATAATTCTCGTCAATAGGCAGGTTACTTCGATAACACTTTTAATTTATGACAAGTTGAATTAATAGAAGTTATTATAAGTTATACTAAAAAAGAATCGAAAGAAAAGCATCCCTTTCATCAGATTATTACAGTACTTCCTTTAATGAATTAATTCCGTTTTTTAAAGAACTCTTGAATTAAACTAAACTATTAAAAAGCCTTGTCTGTTTAATTCTTTAACAACAAAAAATAAGCTTGATGAATGGGACAATGCCCCTTTTTTAAACAAATGTCATCAAAGAAATAGCGTGTGAAATTTAACTTTTTTTTATTATTCTTTCATAAAAAGTGTACTTTACAACGTGACTTTTTCAATCTTTGCTTAATACCGGAATAAAGCAAAGAAAGAACTTATGAGGATTTAAATATTTAAATTTAATCCAAACATAAGCTGCATTTGTATTCTATGTCGAAAGAAATTGAAAAATTCTATCCTTTATAAGATTTTGTTGGTTATATAATAAAGGCCGTATTGTGCAGGTAGAAACTTATTTTACTATCTGTGCATGTATCGCTTCCCACACATGCTACGAGCTTAATAATTTATAGGTTTGGGGAAGGAAATTCTTCCGTCTTTTATATCGGTGCTAAAATGCTAGAAAGCGCATAACTTGCTTAAAATAAATTATCTTACGATTAAATTATGTTTTTATAATGAAATAACTGAAATTCCAACGATTTCCTTGTAAAAACGTAGATACTCCCGCACGTTATCGTCTAATAAATGATTTATCCGCGGCATACGACGGTGGCTCGTTAGCCTACTATCATATAGTTTAATTAAACTGTTAAAGTGTTTAGCACAACCTATTAATTTTATTTTTAATCAGTTTCTTGAGCAATTAATCTTGGAACATTTATAAATTAGCTTATATTTCAGCACTTATAAAGAATGCGAGCTTATGGTTCGGAAAGTCGAACTCCCCACTCGTGTTACTCATCCAGCCAGGCACAAAGAAACGTTTACGGATGATAAATTAGCCCTTATCCGAAAAGAAAAAAAGACTACAGTGGAAGCCATATGTCAGAAATAAATGGCTAACCCCAATCAATCAAAATTAGGGAAATTAATGAAGCCGTCGTGGCATCTATAGAGAAACTCTAACAAGTATATGACGAGATAATTAGGAATTTCGAGAGATTTAAGCCTCTATCTATAATTATCTGCATCTTAAACAAGATGCTCCAGAGATAGATCATCGAGATGGAAGCACTTAAGAGGAATAGATCAGCGGGATCAAACTAAATCGCGAATTTTGCACATGATAAATGCGATCGAAACCCAACACAAAGGAAAAGTAAGCAAAATAATGATTTATTGCGCTCTCTCTCTATCTATTTTAATCCACTTTAAAGCGTATAAAACATTGGTTAATTATACTTCTAAATTTTAAACTTAATTAAAACTTTTAACTTAATAAAAATTAATTAATATTTAATCATTAGGATGATTTTTCTTTCATTCATAAATGATTAAAACGCGTGTTAATTGAGGCAATATTCGTTCAATCGACGCTTTTCTGATTTGTCGGTGTTTAAAAGTTAATTAAAAATTGTTAATCGACACTCTGTTTCGGTTTTAATATGTGCTTATAAATTGCGTAGACCTACGCTCAACATTTAAACGAGTTAATCCATCAATGTCTCTTCTGATAGTTGCAACTAAAGTAATTTGTCATCTTACGCAATTTCTAACCAACTGTCAGATAAAATTCTTACTATTAAGTCTTATATTCGGTTGGAATCCATAAAATCTGTACGTTTTTAGCATTGTTAAGCTGCATTCAAACGTAACGTAACGCAAGAAGAACCTCCCTGAAGCAGCATTGACGTGATTTTATTTTGTTTTGTTTCTTGTTTAATAAATATATTTATGTATAAAATCTTAATTTCCGAACGAAATTTTACATTTTTTTCTATATTTACACTCCATTTCCTTAGTCTTTCCCTGATTCTCCTGGTAAACCTTGGAAATGAAGTGACCATCTCCCATCTTGGATATCGCACGCTTTTTAGGATGGTGAAAACAAAGTTTTTCTTTAAATATTTATTTAAAATTCTTGCCAAAATGATAAAAAAAGATATAATAAAAGCACTCTGACTTTTGAATATTTGATATTTTTCTGAATCCACTCGATATTATTCGTCTTGCGGCCAAGAGCGTTGTTGGACAGTTGGCATCCCGTGAAGATACTGGATTCGATAGCATTCGTTTTTTCTCGGTTCCAGTAATTTTTTAAGTTGCATTTGTTGCTCTTCTCGGATTCTATAATAAATGAGGACAGTTTCGATTCGCTAATGCCCTGGTCGTCAGTTAGCGATTCAAATATTTCCATTATCTCTTGGAAGCTTTCTTCGTTAAATAAATCGATTCTTTTGTGTTCTTCCTGCAATAAATCAACTTTGTTTTTCAAATATTATTATTCTTTATGGTAATTACAGTTAAAAATTTTTAAAATTCCCTTTCGGTAACATTATTAACGGGTACATAAGCGCGTTGCAAAGTAAACGATGCGGGTTATGGTTTGCAACGTCGGTTATAAACATTGATAAACGATAAAAATTCAACTTTGCAACTAATTTACTGTTTAGTTTCAGAACTTTAAACTGTGACTCCATCAATATTTAACACTTTACGTACTGTACCTGCGCCTCGGAAGCTAGGCGAGCGGAGTAATCGTTTGTAAATGTATGAGTCTTTACTGAAAATCCTTTTGATAACAAATAATCTCCGCAGAATTCTTCTTCAGTTTTCTTTAAAGCACACGAGAATTTATTAAATCGATCTTGTTTACCATATTTTTCTCCATTGATATTTTCTCCAATTTCGTCGAATGCATCCTTGATAGAAAAGTTATTTATTAAATTTAAATTTTTTTCTTTGGCGCAAGAGAGAGAGAGAAACATTGAAATGAATAGAAATGTTCGAATTTATAATGAAAACTTTCATTGGCATCGATTGATGCACTTTTCTTCCAGCAGTAAAAGTAGTAATTTTACTTTCTACCTGAAGATAGGAGCGTATTTTTCGTCACGAATCGTACCTTATCAGATGAATGTGAATGCATCCGAGTATCTTCTTGACCATTCAATAGGGCTTTATCTTTTGTCCAAAGATATTTAATCTCGAGAGTTGGATCTTCACAAAGAGATGAGCTCTAAGCAAACAAAAAATAAATAAATAAATAGAAAAGAAACGTCTCAAAGTATGTAATCGATAGAGAAATGATGTCTATCAAAGGGATTAACACTTTCCTATAGTGGATAATCTGACGAACAATTATTTCATCTTTCCGGACCATTCGTAAGAGTAAATAACTCACCGGAATCTCTACTTTGTGACTTATTTCGCATTCCACCAAAGAAATTTCCTGAGACGAAATGATCCCGCTGCGAGACATCCTTCCATATTTCTTTTTGATTTCTCGAATTTCCGATTTCGGTCGAATTTTCTGCAAACACAACGTTATCGAATAAAGTACGTCACAGAGGTTCTGTGTTGTGTATAGAATCGAGCTGTTTATATTATCATACGCATAAAAACCACTAACGTTAAGCAAACTTGTCGAATATTAATTTTTTAAATGAAATTTTTCCAGGGTAAGAAAATATTTATTCAACTGAATTGTAAACGATGCTCGCTTATTAAATACCCGACACTTTTCTCGCATCTCTGATACACTCTCGTCTATTCCATTTTTAATCTGCGAATGATTTGCAAAACACTCATCAATAATTTGCAAGAAACTCGAAAAACTTGTAGAAACACTGATCTAGACCATTAACTCGAGTGCTTCACCCGCCTTTTGCATATATTTATTCTCTTGTTTCTTAACTCCGGCAACGTTAACTTTATCATAATATCTAAAAAAACCAATTAAAATAAATTGAAATTATTCTTTTAACGATAATTTTAGAGCGAGGTTATTAACGGAATCGTATTATTATTATTATTATTTTTAATTTGGCGTGTCACATACACCTGCAAATTCTACATTGCTCCAATTTCTAACTAAAATTAACTAAAAAATTGGTTTGTTGTAAGCGAAAAAATTAACAAAGCCAATTAATAACACGCAACTTTTACTAATGAGCTTACTCTTTCTCCGTTACTCTAATTTGTTAATGGATTAAAACGCGCGTAACATGTTTATTTTTATTATTTTTAAACGAAAACTTAACTTGCAATACTTTAAAGAAATAAATTGATTATTCCGCAATTATTATTGTTATTTTATTTTGGAACAATGTATAAGCCGAGACGTTGTTTACGCGTTATACACAATTCTATTATATCGAGGTAACGACATCTGGATATAATATGATTACGTGTAATGCCTGACGTCAATGTGACGTTAAGCAGCACGTAATGAATTTTTGTTGATCGTTCGAGCGTCCAATAATAATTCAAGGACGGAAGAAGGTTTCTGTTCATCTCGGCGGCAGAAAAACAGGGAAAAAATCTTTTTTGTTTCCCTAAATTTCAGACGCCTGCTGAAGGTTGTAAAAATCAATTTTAGTAGTCCGGGAGTAAAATGCTGGTAACCTTAATATCTCGTGTAGACGACAATGAAAACAAATCGATAAAAATCAGTGCTTTATTGACCATTCATGAACATAATATACATATATTTTCATGCTAAATAATTAGAGAAGAGCTATCACTTGGATCAAACATGCATACTCAAAAACAGCCATAGAGATAATGAGGGAAATGATTCTTCTTTTATTATAAATCTATAAATCTAACTACTATTAATAGCTAGAAGTTAATTGAGCAGATATCATATAAAATATGTTGAATTTTTATATTGAAGAAATCTTTATATATATATATATATTTCAGTTAAATATATATATTTTCTTTGTCTATATACATTCTAAAATTTGTAATTTTCTTTTCGCTCCCTTGACTAAAATTCTTATTTTTTCGGCTAAAATAGTTCTAAAATAGTGTGGACCACACAGAAGATATGATGATTATCGTTGTTTAGTTTTTCTTAAACTAATCGTTTGATATATTTTAAATTAGGCCATTAAAATACGTGGCATCGTCTTTCTGGACCCTTTGCGTAGGAAATACGAGAGTAGCACTGAAAAGGAGGGAAGTTACGGGTTGGTCGTCACACAGATAAATTCACATTTTTGATTATTCCGGCCCAGAGAGAGGCAATTTTTGCAACTCTCGCCGTCCATGCGTCGAATATTTGCTGGTCCAACGTAAGTCTTTTCTTAAATATACATTAACTGTTAGTGATACTGACTTTTTCAGTATGGAATGCTCAATTTAGACTTCATTTAGGAATAGAGTTATTGACGAAAGCCATGAATGTTATCGACTAATACCGAAAGACATGTAGTGAGCAACAGTTCAGATAGATTAGTTGGTGATTCTGGTGGGGTGAGGGTGTGTTGGCACTTGGGTAGTGATGACACAACGTAGTAGAGGACGGCTATTGTATTTCAGCCATTCCACAATACAGAAATAAAGAAGAAAAAAAGAGGCGGACGAATTTGATCCATATTTTTTTAAAAAGTCTTTGGGTGAACTGAGGTTAGCGATTTTTACATGACCGTATCTAATAAATTCATAGATTTAATCAAGTTGTCGTCCTGTAATAGAGAATGATAAATCATGTTATACAATCTGAGCCGATAAAGTAGATCAATAACCTAATTACTAATTTTATAAGCAATTAACTTTAATAGTATCGACAGCAAAAAGGAAACCATTTACATATAAATTCAAATTTATACCCTTAAACAAATATCCACAAATTCGTCAAATGTCACTACTCCGTCGTTGTTGAGATCCAGTTTCTGTTGACGAAAAGATTTATGAATTAGACTTTTTTCAGTATTTCAATAATAGGAATAAGAAGGGTGAGATGGCCTCTGAGAAAAGATGCCAAACGGGCGAGCTGGCATTAAAAGATTTTTACGTTTTTGTTCATCGAATGCAAACATATTGTAGGCGAGAAAGTATGTGAACCAGAAAAGTATTAAGCTTGTATCGAAGAAGATATCTCTCCCGCTCTTACTCCTTCAAACTGTCTTCTCTTCCGAGAGAACTACGCACTAATTTAAATTTATTACGCCATGGCTACACTTAATACCTTTTCTTTTCCGCTTTTATTATGTTATATATTACATCGGGAGATTCGATATCGAGAAATGCACGAATAAATTATAGAAATTTCTTACCTGGAAGACGCGATCGGCATGATCCTTTGACGTATCCTCTTCTACAGTAGGTTCAGTAAATTGTCCCAACATAAGATATATCGCCGTCGTTATCTCGTACATTTCCTCTTTAGTGATTTTTCCATCCCCGTTTATATCGTACAGGTTAAAAGTCCACTGAAGTTTCTCCAGATCAGTACCACGGGATATGGTAGATAATCCAATTACAAAATCCTGCATTAAGAAAAAGAACGGCACCACACTCTGTCACTAAAGTAGATTCGGTCGAAATTAGTCATAAAAGTAAATTATTCGCGTAATCTTTAAATCGAGGGAGGGAAAAAAACAGATGCGGCGCGATACGTGACGAAAATACATACTGGCGGATAATGCGTGGATTTTTGTACATGACGTGAAGATGTTTACAGACAAAGATGTTTGTTTCGATTTGTTATTTTTTTTATATGAGACTAGAAATAACCGCTTCTGGTGAGATTATCGATTCCGTGTTTACCTCTAAATGTACGTTGACTTTCAAGCAGAAAACGCGTATGGTTTACTCTCCCTCTCTTTTCCTCATCCGGTGTGTTTCGGGAGACGTCTAATATCTTGATTAAATAAAAATCTCTCATTGTTCGCGGTTACTTTGTAAAAGAAGAACGAGACTTTTCTCCAAAGAACAGGAAAAAATTGAATAGATATTTTCAAAAAGTAATGAAGAAATTAAAAATTGAAAAGACGAAAATCGATTGGTTTAAGCCGTAATTGTAAGTGGGAAACTGTCTCCAGAAATTGCCACTTTTATCCAATTTAGCAATGAAGCGTTCTTGGAACGAATGCGATTCAATTAAAAGATTTCCTGGATGGGCAGCCATTTGAATTTTAACTCCATCGCTGTTAAATCTAGTGAATTTGATTGTTGTGTTTCCTGAATTAACAAGAAAGAAATTATAAAAGATCAAAGTTACTTAGGATTTATCTAATTAAATTCTTTCAACAACGATTTAAAATGTATTCTTATTACCAACTCCCTTCAAATGTTTTACCAAAACTTTTACCTTAGTCTCATTGTAAACGGCCACATTTTTTACTCGAAATTTATATTTTAAAAAAACATTTCTCTTTAGCGCCATATTAAGAGAAACAGCCCATTATCTGTAAACCCTACTGCGAGAAAAGCACTACTTATCGCACATTTGCCTCCAGTAAAGTGCCACATATAATAAGTCTTTAATGTTTCTAACACTTTCAACTAGTTTTTAGTGTTATCAATCAAATGTTATCGTGATTTAACAATATAGCATGCACACAAATAAGATTAAAGTCAAAGATAGAAGTATATTTATATATATACGAGTATATATATGGAGTATTAACCTGAAAATTAATTGTACCATTATGTTCCTGATCGATGAGTTTAAACACGTAATGGGCGTATAAAGAAGCATCTGTAAAAGAAAGAATGATTAATAAAAGACTAAATTAATTTTATTACCTTTAAAACCGGTAAAGATTTTAATAAATAAATTACTGTTGAATTTTGCAGCGAAACTGAATGCCATCCAGTTTAAAATTAAACAGATAATAAATATATTTGAAAAAAATTTAATGAATAAAGCATTAACGTTATTAGCATTGGACTATAATAAAAGGGAAAAACTACTTTATTTATATAATATAAAATAATAAAAAAAGACGAGGTTTACCAATCGATTTCTGAAAGAAAGATGCGAATATGAAGATTAGTTGTGCGTCGGAATAATTAAATTGAGTTTAAACTTACCACCCTGAGGGAAGAAGGATGCGTAAATGTCTTTAAAAGCGTTCTCGTTGACAATTCCAGTTGGACATGCCTAAAATAAATCAAATATGTAAAGACTCAATTTGGATTCGCTTTTGCTGCATTACTTATATTGATTTAAGAATGATTTATAGACAATTTACTTCTGAAAATGCACATTCCTCTCGGAATGAACCGAAACAAATGTACATTTTATTTTAATTCACTTTCGAAATCCAAAATTCTTTTCTAATTACATTTACAAACATTTATATTGTATACTAATTCATTACAAAATGTATATCAGCGTGAATTCTACTTTGGTTTTTTAATACCCTTTATTTACAATTTTATTTCCTTTTAATTAAAATTAAAAGCGAATTTCGTCCATTTAAATAAAATATATATAAATAACTTGCCAGCATTCATTTAAGCACTTCACTTAGTACATTTAAATATATAAAACTAAAATCCCCGAGAAAAAGAATGGCAAATAAAAACTATTAAAATCAGAACTTTACTTTATCACCCCGATATAAGACTTGGGTGCATAATTATTATTGTCGTTTACATCGCCACTCGATTCCGTCGCATAATTCTACATTTTCTATTTCCTCAACGAGAAACGTGAATAATAACATTATAATCAATATTTTCATCTGCGTAAATACGAGAAAATCAAAATTTCCAATATCATTCGTAAGCTTACACGTATTTTCCGTATAATTTAGTACGATACATACATTAAAATGTTTAGTAATTATGTGCACGACCCGTAAAATCCAAAATCGGTGTAGTCCAGTTGAGGGAATTTGAATAAGTTTAGAACTGTCCGAGAGCAGTGGCGTGGGCAATCTTCTATAAGGAAATATTCCTCCAGTCACGACTACGTAAGGCCCCACGAAATTATAACGCGCCACTGTCCAAAAGTGTTTAAGAGAAAAGTAAATATGTAGATCGATATTCCAAGAAACTTTTTTATATAAATAATCGATACGGCCAAGATTAAAACCGTCCGAATTCGCTTTATGCTCCAGCGGCAAAGTATCCTCGAATTAAGAAAATGGTTCCTTTTAAAAATTATCTCGATGTTAATACTCGATGTAATAAACCACAGAGGCGGAAAAAATCGCCATTATCTTCACTCGCTCCTTCATCGATTAGAGGAAATGTTCTATAGGAGCATCTATTTGTCAAGATAAGAGTATTAACAGCAAATTCTTAACCGGAGTGTCAGTTTTCTTTCCGGTGCCATTAAGAAGTATGGACGAAAGTAAAGTAAAAGAACGAAAAATGGCAAGTGTACGAGTAGAAAATAATAAATAATACCTGTTTGAAACCTTGATACATCAACTTCAATTCATTTCTGGTGAATTTAGTTCTTTTACATAAGGCGTCAATTCGTTCGGGTTTGAATCTCACGAAGTTAAAGTCGAAGTCATCGAGTTCGTTGTCTGCAAGCAAGAAAAATGGTCAGAAAGTAAAAAAATAATAATGAAACGAATCCAACCGCCAATGGACTTAGTTACTTTAATAATGGTTTTGTAAATTCTTCATCGTTCAACTTTCAAAAAAGAGGTGTTAGTCATTTTCTATTTGGAGCTGTCACCTACAGTCTGCACCAACGTTGTTGTTGCTGAATGAAAAATCAATATCGCCCGTCTACCATCTGACATCACAATTTATTGAAATTTTCCCGCACGACAATACAGTAAAAGATGCAATGAGTCCGCACTTATTAATGACACGTTCATTTTTAAATTGCGCCTCGCGTATTTCATCCACCTCTTTATTACTGACTTTTTTCTTTTTGCTTCATTCATAAAGCTGATTTTTTTCTTTTTTTAAAAAGATTTATTGCAACTTCCAAGAATTTTCTTCCCCTTTTAACAGAAAGAAATATAGGACTTATAGTTAATTAATACGGAAACTATAGCTTATTAAATTGAATTTTAATTAAATTTTATAAAAACTGAAAGCGAGCGAGAAATAAACGAATGAAGTATTACGTAAAAACAATAGCAATTATCTCGATTGTCTGATCAAAATGACGCCGAAGAAAGCGTAAAATTTGTACCGAAATCAATAAAGAAAATTCTAAATAAAGGAGAATAATAAGAATTAGAAAATTCTTCTCAAATATTCATATGATCTGACGTAAAGAAAAATAAAATTTAAGTGATGAAAAACTGCCAAGATAATAAACGCCGATTAAAACCGGGTGAATTTGTCAGAATGCGTCCACACGTTTACTCTGTAAATGATTAAATCGTATTGAAGTGCGAAGAATTGGTCCATGAATTTTCATCGACTCAATTCAACTTTCATAAATTATATAAAGAAAAACATTTTTAAATAATTCTTAATTGAATTTTTCACGCGTATATTTTCGTAGGCAAAACAAGAAGAAAGTTTTTAAATTTTACAAGAGTTACAATACTTTTTTTGTAAAACAAATCTGTACTTTTCCAGCGAAAGAAAAGTTATCCATTCAGTCAACACGCGCGGATCAAAGTAATCGTGAACAGATGTAGTAACGAATTAAGCAATTGCACATTCCCCGTGTTTTAGCTTAGACCCTAATCTCTTGAGCTTTCTCAGATGCGATACAAAGGATCTGAACCCACTTTTCACTCGGTTACGTACGGGGGAGCCTTAAATAAACGAGATTGGTTCCGTTTATAGCCTTATCTATTTCTGATGGTCGTATCTTTACCATCAAAGAAGAACCAACGGGGGGAATGGCAGTTTAAATTCTAAACACTAACAAATTTTCAGTTACTACAAACTCTTATCGTCGATTTTAATCATTTTAATTGTCTTAAAATCTAATTGAATCGACTGCGATGCAATTTTCTGTAATCTTTACTTTCTTAATTATAACTCTGAGACTTTTTACTATCGTTTAATGCTACGCTCTACCTAGAGAATCGCGATTATTATTGTTATAAAGCTGTAGAAGGCCATAAAATGGGACCTAGGTGACGTTGACGACTATGTCGAGTATGCAATTGGGTATAATAAAAAGTATTTACTTCGGTGTTATGCTTAAAAAATATATATTAAAAAATTACATCGAAATGTTTATAATAATTGCTATATTTTTAATGCAATTTTATTATACTGTATAAATTTATAGTGTTTTTCAATGTCGTAATGTTCTCGAAATGATAATAAAATCGTCAAGTTCTATATGGAAAACATAAAAATTATGTATTATACAGTATGGGGCCGTACAAAGCATATTCCTCGAAATCGGATATAAAATGTATGACAAAACAAAAGATTAGAGTGCTGCAGAAAGCAACTAGAATCAAGTCTTATTATAGGAAATTTTCCAACAGTTAGCTTTGTAAGAAATAAAAATTTAAAGGGGAAGCAAACTTCACGGTAGAGAGTACCATTAATTAACTACCGTCAGGAAAATTAAAAGAATAAAACGTGTAGACAAGCGTAATGTTATCAGAAAAGAAAGGGAAATTTTTCCTGATAACAAAGGTTCAAAAGCGCAATAATAAAGGGAAAAAAAGGATGTCCAGCCAAATCATAAAATATGCTTATGATTTATGATCTGTATATAATCCTATTTCTTTTCATAGATCATAAAACATGTTTGGAAACTGTATCATATCGCAGAATTGAAAGATTTCTTTTTTATAAACGAAACTATGAAAGAAACAGAGAAAAGGGATCCTCGTCATCACTTTTCAGATATATCAATAATATCAATCAATATTACGGATTATAATAATAACTCTAAGCAGGACTGCTGTATATTTTTCACATCTCCTTCTTTATTGTGTTATAACAAATAAAATAAGAACAAAAATAGAAATTATTTCTAAACAATACGAGTCGAAAACAATTTATATAAAAATTGTAGTTATTATCTTTTAATTCAATTTTTGAGGGGGGGAGAAAAAAGCAATTTAAGTGAATTTCCTAAAATTGTAATTACAATTTAAAAAGAAAATTAAAATTTCTATTAAAATTTCCGTCTTCTCTAATTGAATTGGATATTATATAAGATTTTAATATATAAAGTTTTGATTTTATTCGTTAAAGCAAACAATATTATCATTATTGAGAGATAAAAATGGACTCGACAAACGTAATTAGCTTACTTTTCTCATCATTAACGAGCAAGAAGTCTATTACGGATCATTCATCAATGACGTAACATAAATGAATACGTTTGTGGGCCTTTATTTTCGATGGAAAAGAGACGACTCCGCCCAATATTGCGCGAAGGTCTTGCCTTGTTTTGTTAATAATAAATCCACGCCCATAAATAATTTGTGCAGGTTTTTTATTGTGTCACATATTTTACTTGTTGATTAGAAAAGTTTTATTTTATGGCTTCCCGTAAATGATTTTATTGCAAAACGTTAATAAAATATCAGGAAAACGGCGCTCGTCGATAGTTGTAATAAAATATCGCTTTTATTTTTATTTTTAACTCCCCGGAAAGATTACTCATTTTGCTGATGCCTTCTAAATAACGTTTAATTCTTTATCCGGTAGAAAAATTACAAATCGATTTTTCTCCCTTTCTTGTGATAAAATCCGGGAATTTTCCCTACATAAAAATAAAATTAAAAAGGCGGTATGTATTTACAAATGAAATTAAAGAAAATTGGTTGTTAGCGCGGTGTTTAGCGATGCGACGAATCGTGTTTATCGATCAAAATCATTAGAAGGTAATCGGAAACCGAAGAGGAAATGAACGATTTATAGTTAATTAACGAAGATATTGGTTAATCGTTTTGCCTAATTTTCATCCAAACACCATTTCTATATTAAATTTATCAAGTGTTTTGAGCTTTGAGAATGGAAAATTGTCGGCTGTTATTGTTAATCTTTGGCCCGGGGCCAAGAAACAGTCTGTTTCTTTCGTAAGAAATCTTAACTCTATCGATTAATGTATCCGCGATGTCTGAAAAGGTTGCAGGATTGGGATATTCCTGCAACCGAGTAAAAAACCAATCAAATAGATATTTACAGGAGTGAACGACCGCGTGGCATGTCAGATTTATCCATAAACGTGATTAGTCGGGAAGGTTGGTGTAATGAAACACGCACTTAAATTACTTACGACAGAATAACATCCTTAATTAATGCGTACACGCCGAATCGAAAGATTGCATTTTAATTGCCCGCTCTATGTTCTTTTACAGCAATAAAACTCTCGTCCCTCTTCCATTATTTATCTTACCTCTTTCTTCCGTGGAAAAGTATTTTATATTAAAAACAATCTTCTAATCATAAATTTTCTATCGGGACACTTAGAAGTAATAAAATTTCACTGACAGAATTAGGCTTCTAGCTTTACAATAAATACAACCCATAAATGATTTGTTACCATAGTAACATTATCCCTTAAGGATCTTAAGGAGGTATGATAAAACCAGCACGTTTGGCCTCGGGTATCATCAACTCTTACCCAACTTGCTAGATAATTCCCGTTGTCGAAGACTCCTCCTTACCCATTATTGATGGGATTAGATTCTTTCGGCCCCGGGAATAACATATTTACGACTTTTATGAATTTCGCTCCAACGTTATATTATCTTAATTATAACGAATCTACCGAGTTTCGACCTTCTAGCCGAAAGATTAATTGGCAATTGAACGATAAACGGAAGAAATGTTTGATGTTTGCGGTTAAAAGTGGGAAAATATCCCCGATGCGTGAGTTGCATTTTTCGATTATCCCCGAAATCTGGTGATGGACAAGAATGCAATTGCGACAACTATTTTTCCCACGAATGCAATTTTAGTAATCACAGCATGTGCACCATTTCACTTGGCAGGCAAGACGTGTCATCTATTTCCTCGTCGAGTGACCATCGATAACGTTCAGCATCAAACGAAACAAAGACGTCCGCTCGATACATAAATTGTCTATAACTTTCATTTATACCATTGCAATTTTTAATAATGCATTTATCAACAAATTAAGTAATGAAACAAAATTATACCGTCATTAACGTATACAATTAGATAACATATTAGTAGTACAGCCGTCAATAGACCTACTATAGATGATTATATGATAAAAATTTGGTATAAAATATTAAAGATAACGTATCGGAATTTAAAGAATTATTTTTAAAAAATGTTATTAAAATGTACAAGTTTCATTATATAAAAATCTTTAAAAAGTATTCATGACTTAGATTTTAACAAAAATAACAAATGATATCGTGACATACTTACATTTTTCTTTCAGCCGATAGAAAAAAGTAATGTTTTTAAACATAATTAGGGAATAATCTTTCTATCAAAACACATACAAAACCCCGGTTCTTCTTACTTAATAAATAAATAAATACAAGCAAATATTGTTCTCGGCCGAAAACAATTTCATTTATAATAAGTAATTGATTTTACTCATTCAGTAACGTAATGAGTACGAAATGCATTTTTAGTTTAGTTTAGTAACAATAATAGA